TTCCTCGAAGGCACAGAGCTAGGTTTGATCCCCAGACTTGCATACGCTGGATGTGGTCTTGCAGACCTGTAGTACCTGTAACCATAGCACTAAACTAGGAGGTAGAGGCAGGAGGATCAGAAGTTCAAAGTTATCTGAGGATTTATACCGAATTCGTAGCTAGATTAGGTTATAGGAGAACTGTCTCCAAACAAAACAACAACAACATGAGAAGGGGAAGGGAGGAGATGGGGGGATTCTCAGCAAGATGGCTCCTCAGTGGGTAAAACTAGTTGCCAGTCCAAACCTGATGTTCCGAGGACCCCTGTTTTATCCCCAGAACCTAGAGTGGAAGGAGAGAACTGGGTTAGTTATACCCATGCATCCACACTCATCAGACACAACACACAAAAAACATGGCCAAATGATATTTTTAAGGTGGGGGGGGGCTGGTGAGATGGCTCTGGGCTTAAAGAACTTGCCATGAAAGACTGATGACTTGATTCCATCTCCAAATGCCAGGGTGAATGAACTGAATCCGCCAATCTGTCTTTTGACTTTCATTTGAGAGCCATGGCATGCACACCCTTGAAAACATGCAAACACGCCAGGCAGTGGTAGCACACGCCTTTAATCCCAGCACTTGGGAGGCAGAGGCAGGTGGACCTCTGTGAGTTTGAGGCCAGCCTTGCCTACAGAGCGAGTGCCAGGATATGCTCCAAAGCTACATAGAGAAACCCTGCCTTGAAAAAAACCAAACCAAACCAAACCAACCAACCAACCAAACAAACAAACAAAAAACCCCATGAAAACATGCAAACACACACACACACACACACACACACAAATAATAAAATTTTAACATTTTAAAAGTGTAAACAACTTCATTTTGACCACTGCATCTTGAAGGATGTCAGACTTCATGCATTAGTCATTTGTCAGTAATAACACAGAGCACATGTAATTTCTGTTTTTCATAATTTAGTAGGCATATGAAGAACATTTCTATTATTTACAAAGGGGCTTCTCTAAATGTAAGATACATGCATAAATGTCATACTCTTTATTTTCTTTCTAGTTTTCTTCTCGAACAAGGAGTCAGTATCAACATTTGGGCCCAGATAATTCCTTGCCATGAGAGACTCCACTGCACATTCTAGCACATTTTTGTAGCATCTCTGGTCTATACTCATGAGATGCTCCATCAATCAGTTCTGACAATTAAAAAAAAACATTGCCAACAGAGTCACCTGCTCCCTGGGAGGCAAACAGAACTTGATTGACAGATAATCCATATCCTTGAATGTAAGTTCCATGGAGACAAATTTATAAAAACTGTTTTGTCTAGTTAGGCACATTTGGATACATCTGTAATGGCAGCACCTTTGAGGTGGAGACAGTGAGAACAAGAGGTCAAATCTGGTTACTTAACAGCCTTGAGGTCAGCTTCGAAACAATTTATTAAAACTCCTTTGTTTTACTCTTGTATTTCCAATCCCCAAGAGCAAATGACCTGGAGACGAGAACTCCTTTTAGACCTGAGGCTAATTAGAGTAGTGTGACTTCAAAATGCCCTTAGAATGAAAAAACCTGGTGTAGATTTATCATTCTGCCCCTAGCCCCTTGTAAACACACACACACACACACACACACACACACACACACACACACAACTAGCTTCTCTTAGATCCATTCCCTTCTCCCAACTTAACAGTTTTGTTTGTTTGCTTTTTAAATAGCCCACTTCTACATAGTGGTGCAGGGCTTTAGTTCTCATGAAGCAGACACAGGCAGATCTTTGAGAGTTCGAGGCCAGTGTTGTCTACTGAGTGAGTTCCAGGACAGCTAGTGCTACACAGAGAAACCACCTTCAGGAAAAAAAAGCCCATCAATGAACTCCTATTTTTACTTGTATTACACTCATGGGTGTGGGACCATCCACTGGAACATGTTCAACCGAACTCAGAAGACAACTAGCAATAGCTCCTCAGCTAAGGTTCAGAGCTCAGGAGCCACTCAAGCCCCCCTTGATGGAATGCTGACTGACTTTAGGTCACAGCTGCTGTGATTATCTGAGGGCAATAGTCCTATCATGTCCAAAAGACACAGATTGTGGCCTGTATCCTGGCTGCTCACTTTAACTGTCTTTCGGTCCCTTCTTCTGAGATGTCCCTTGAGTCCTGGAGGAGGATGTGTGTGTTAGCCTTTATTGTCAATTTAACACAACTTATAGTCACCTGGGAAGAATGAACCTCAACTAATTACCCACACCAGACTGGTTTGTGGCCACGTGTGTGAAATAGTCTTCACTGAGGGTTGATGTGGGAGGGCTCAGTCCCCAGTGAAGAGCCCCATCTCTAGGTAGATGGGTCAGAAAGCTAGGAAAGCATGAGTCAGATAGAGAGCCAGTGTATTGCTACAATGTTTTCTGACCTATTTCCTGTTGCAGTTCCAGCCCCAACTTCCTCCAATGAAGCAACTGTAAACTGGAAATATAAGCTAAATAATCCTTTCCCTCCCCAACTTGCTACTGGATATCACATCAGAATGCTCACTAGAGGTGAAATCCAGATGTTCTATTTATGGCTGGATTGCTATGGTCTTTATATATTTACTTTTGGTAGCTTTCCTTCAGTCCAGTGAGTTGTGTTTCATTTTATTCATTCATAAGTCTCTCATGAATATTCATATCAACAGTACCAACTTAGTAAAAGTAGCTTTTGTTTCTTTTGCCATTTTCAGTTAGTGTCAAAGTTTCAATTAGTCACACAGAGGGAATATTTCTCAAATCTTAGAAATACACTGGCAAGTGAAGTTTGCAAATCTGTAGCACTACAAGAATCATCTGAGTTTAGTGCTTTCACTACAGATTTTACAGCATTGTGCAGAAGTATTTTAAGATTCTAATAGGAATAAAACTGCCCTTTCTATTATGTGAGTCAACATTACAATTGTAATTGGTGGGTATGTGTAAATATTTTTGTGTTTTATGCCTTTTCACATTTCTGCAATGACCGTGTATTGATCTTACGCCAGAAGAAATGTTCTTATGCTGGTGATGCAGCTCATTTGGTAGAGTGCTAAGCTAGCATGCACAAAATCCTAGCACTTGGAAGATGGCAGAAGGAGTAAAAGTTCAAAGTTACCTTTGGCTACATAGCAAGCAGGAGACTAGCCTGGGATACTGGAGACCCTGGGAGAAAAAACAAAAAACAAAACAAAACAAAAACCAAAACCAAAAAAAACAAAAAATAAAAAAAACCCAAAACAACAAAAAACAAAACCTCCACAAATCAACCACTTAAAAAATCTTTCACAATAAAAAGCATTTAAAATAATTTTTGAAAAAAAGAGAACAAACATGCTCCCTCAAAAGTAATCTTTTGTAAGAATGGTATCAGAATGGGGCATGTCACAACACACCTAGAATCCTTGTATCTAAGAGACAGAGGCAGAAGAATTGGCACAAATTTAAGGCCAACCTGGCTTCTGCACATTATCCTTTTCTGTAATAAGGATTAGGTCATTGTAACAAACTTATAGCCAATGATTTAGACCTTAAATCAAACAGATGATCACTGTTTTCAGTACAGTATTATAATTACTAGTCATTATTGTTAATCTGACTTAGAAACAGTGCCAAAGTATAGAGTTCATTTTTCTTCTATCTCCACACTGCATTTAATTGTCCATGTAGATTTAACTACTAAATGTGAGGACAGGTGTTGCTGCATTTTTTTTTAAAAAGTTTTCATGTCACTGTGGTAAAATACCTTAGTAAAAGCAACTTTGAGAAGTATATTTTAACTGGCCCTTTGAGGTTACAGTCTGTTATGGTGAGGAAAACACAGCAATGGGAACTTGAGGAAGCTATGAATGCCTGTGTTCAGCTCACTTTCTACTTTTCCCAGGGTAAAGTCAAAGCTCAGGGAATGGTGCCACCTGCAGTGGATGGGTCTTCTTACCTCGGTTAACCTAACCATGATATCCCCCCCAGGAATTCCCCCTCAGAGGCTCTCTCCCAATTGATTCTGGACCTCATAAAGTTGTGAACTGAGACTAACCATCATACCAGCCGTCTACAGAAATACCACTTAATTATAGCATCACTTTGTGAAATGTAGAACTGTAAGGTTATCTGGACACAGGGGCTGAGGTCCAAGTGCACTTTGTTAATTCACCACGTCAGGATCATTACTACTTTCGACTCCAAGTATCAATGGTCAGGAAAAAGCACATTTATATTTAAATATTTGAGCTGGGGAGATAGCAGAATAGTAGAACATGGCCTACATTGCATAAGACCCCAGATTCTTTGTTTTATTACACTTTTTGTTTTGTGTATGCAGACACATGGAGGAGGTTAGCTGACAACTTGTAGAAGTCAGCTATCTCTTTCTACTATCTGAGACCAAGGGATGATCTCAGATTAGATCAAGCTTGGTGGCAAGTGGCTTTATCTGCTGAGCTGTCTCACATTCCCAAGGCCCTGGGATCGAGTTCCAGCATTGAAATATTGAAATAAATAAATAAATAAATAAATAAACAAACAAATAACAATGCTCATACTCTTTATTATTTTTCATGTGTTTACAAAACCAACAACAGAAGACGTTACTCTTCATTTTATGTTACGGTACAAATTTCTATAAAATTTAATAGTACAAAAGTCTATTGTTTTACTAACACACTAGTTAAAGTTACACACAGGGATTGGTTTTTGTGGAAAGAAATTCCTTATCATTTGTATAGGTTCCAAGGCTTAAGGACTACAGTAAATTATACTTTTCTCTCACATCAAAAAACTAAAAAACAAAACAAAACAAAAAAAAAAACCAACAAAAAGTATATTTCTAAAGATAGCTGTTTTCCTAAAATAACCCAATTAAATCAGCTTTCTTCTTGCACATCTCCTTGTTCTCTTATGCAAACGGTGCTAAACAATTTTTCTTCCAAGTGCTTAGTATCAACAAAATACTTGACATCAAACCCAAAGAAAGTACTTCAATAATAACAGTCTAAAGTCAAACATTCTAAGAATATATTTATGCTCCTAAGTATGGTTCAGTGCAATTGGTAGCAAACTGTTGATAGGAAAGGACAGTTCATTCTTCCTGTCTTTCTTGTCCATTGTTCATACTGTTCAATCTGGCACGTCTCAAATTCCTCAGTATGGTAAATCTAGTGTGGAGCGACAGGTTAGTCTGTGAAAGAGACAAAATGCTTTACATTTGAGAACTCAGAAGTTTAACAAAATACTCTTGAATTTGGTTATTAAAAATAAACTAGGGAGACAGTTGTGCTGGCATACACCTGTATTTCCAGCGCTTGGGAGGTGGGGGCAGGAATTCAAGGTCATCCTCAGCTATGATACTGAGTTTGGAGTCACCTTGGGGTATGTGTACCCTTAGCAAAAAATGCAAGGAGGGAGAAAGGGTTAGGGAAGAAGGGAGAGAGAGAGGCAGAGAGAGTGAAACAGAGACACTAGGCAGCTAGGCCTGTTGGCAAAGGCAGGATGATTGGAAGTTTAAAGTTTTTTGGGCTATAAGACAGAGGGCTGCTTTCCAAATATACAAAGAACGCAAGAAGCTAGTTACCAAAACACAAATAATCCAATAAAAAAGTGGGGTAGAGAACTAAATAGAGAATTCTCAATGGAGGAGTCTAAAATGGCTCAAAGACACTTAAAGTGCACAACATCCTTAGCCATCAGGGAAATACAAATCAAAACAACTCTGACATACCATCTTACTCCTGTCAGAATGGATAAAATCAAAAACATCAATGACAGTTTATGCTGGAGAAGATGTGGAGAAAGGGGAACACTCCTCCACTGCTGGTGGGAGTGCCAATTTGTATAGCCACTTTGGAGATCAGTATGGTGGTTCCTCAGGAAATTGGGAATTAATTAGTCTACCTCAAGACCCAGTAATTCCACTCTTAGGCATATACCCAAATGATCCACATTCATACAACAAGGACATCTGTTCAACTATGTTCATAGCAGCATTATTTGTAATAGCCAGAACCTGGAAGCAACCCCTCAACTGAAGAATGGATGGAGAAAATGTGATACATTTACACAATGGAATACTACTAAGCAGAAAAAGCAGAAAAACATAATGGAATCCTGAAATTTGCAGGGAAATAGATGGAACTAGATGACTCCCCATGGACAGCCTCACCCTCCCTGGGGAGCAGAAAGGGAATGGTCTGTGTTTGGTGGGTGTGATAGGGGAGGGTGGGAGGGTGAGGGAACTGCGACTGACATGTAAAACCCAGTTTCAAATTTAAATAACCAAGGATAAAAATTTAAAAAGATAATTAATGTTGGCTTATTTCCCCAACTTCCCTGTTTTTCACAAAGGCAGAGCACAGGAAAAGATTTCTTGTTTAGTAAGAGAGTCACATGTTTCCTATATATAAAAGATAACCTTATATATTTCAAGTTGACCTAAAAATAAACATGGTTTCCTTAACGTATAGTGAGCCAACAGTTGTGCAGTTGCATCATAAATACCCGATTATTCCGTGCTCCGACATTGAAGCTCAGTCTTATTCCTTTTGGATGACGTGGAATAGTCTTAATAGTGGTGTATCTACCATTCAGGAATTCAGCATCCACTTCAGGTCTCCATAAACTGTCAATTAAAGCATAATTCACAAGTAGATATAGTAGCCACAATCAGATGAACAAGTTTGAGGCCTTCAACTTAAGGGTATGTAGGAATCATTTCTAGAAGTCTAAAAGAAGTTATAAGGTTTACCACTGAACTATACTCTTAATCCTAGGTATTATTACTATTATTAATTTCCTTCACATCTTTAGATGAGTTTTTACCTGCTAGATAGGAACCCAGTTTTACCCTTCTTTAAGTATAGTGTACTTTGGACTAAATGTAACCACAACTTCTTTAGAAAGAAAATAGATTTGTGATTGCCTTAGTCTAGGATGGGGAGAACATAGGTCTGAATGAAGAGACAGTGAGAATGTTCTAAAATCATACTATGAGGAAGACAACACATTTCTTAATTCACCAAAATCCACAGAGCTGTGTAGTCTAACTACAAAGTATAAAAATTGTAGCTTAGTAAAATTATTAGGAGCTATACCTATAATCCTAGCACTCAGTAGGTAGAGGCAAAACAATCAGGAGTTCATGAGTATCTCTGACAATATAGAGTTTGAGGCCAGTCTTGGTTATATGAGATAGTCTCAAAAAATCCAAAGAAAACAGCTGCTTGCTATCTTCATCACTAAGACCACCTACTTTTCTGAGTCCCAACTAACTGTAACGTCCCCTTTCCCCATTTCTATTGGATAGTGGCTAAAATCCCAAGCCCATTGAGCCAGCCTGAAACCTATTCTTCCCCATGAAGCTAATGAATATGCTTGTTTTGTTGAACCTTATGTCGAAAGTCATGACTTCCTTTCTTCTGCTTCTCCATCTCCCTCCTCCTGGCAGCTGCTGAGATTTACAACTTCTCTGCCCTGTCAGTGTCTTTTTTCTAACTCATAAAATGGTCCTTACACTTAAATAAAAGAAAAAAATGGTACAAAAATGTTAGCTGGAGGGCTAAGGATAAAGAACAGTGGTAGAACACTTGATTAGCCTGTGTGAAGCCCTGAGTTCCATTCTCCTCACCCTAAGAATCCCAAGATAAAAAGTGAAAAAAAAAATTAAATGTGATAGAGCAAACCTAGACTCCCCAAACCAAGAGACCGAGGCAGGAGGATCTTGAGTTTAAGGGCAATCTTGTTATATAGGAGTTAATACAAAAGCCAGCTTGGATTCCTGTGACATTTGTTGTGCCATGTTGCAAAGGTGTGTTCCATAATGGGCCTCATGGGTGGCTGCTAGTGGGTCTGGTTTATTTTTTGTCTTACATGGCTCTTTGTGTCAGTGAATAGTAGAGCAAAAAGAAGCTTTTTTAAAAAATCTGTCCAATAAGCATTTTTGTAAAACATGTCAATTTCTTTATTAGATGATAACCATTTTAATAATTTTACTTCAAGAAATCAGTTACATTTTACACCAACAAGCAAAAAAAATTATACCAAATTAAATGCCATGCTGCTAATCTCTTGAAGTATTTTGACAGATTTTGTATATTAACAAATTTCCTATAATTTTGGAAATCATTATAAACTATATTCTGCACTATAATTTAATTTTCAAATATTTTTAAAGAAATAAACTTGTATAGAAATGTGAAAAAAGAAGCTTTATTTTTTTTTGGAGATAGCATCTCATATAGCCTAGACCATCTTAAATTTCATTATATAGTTGAAGATGACCTTGAACTTTCAAAACTCCTGCTTCCACTTCCTGAGTGATGGGATTGCAGGCATTGGCCAATAAGCCTGGTATTATGCCCTTCTGGTGAATGAATTAAGAGATTCATACATGCTAGACAAGCAATCTAACAACTAGACTACATCCCCAATCCAAGGAGTAATTTTTTTTATTATATGTTCATTTTAAAATATTTTATTATTATTTAATACTTTTTCCTTATTTTACAAACCAATCCCAGTTCCCTCTCCCTTGCATTCTCCTATGCTCTCCCCCACTGGACCTCCATCCTATCCCCCATCCACTCCCCAGGGAGGGTGAGGCCTTCCATGAGATCAAAATCTGTCAAGTCATTTGGGATAGGGCCTAGGCCTCCCTCCTCCCTCCTTTTGTGTACCAGGGATACATCCTGGTCCTACTGCCAGAGGTCCCCTTAGACTGACCAGTCCTCCTGACACCCACGTTCAGAGGGCCTGGTCTGGTCCTATGTTGGTTCCCCAACTGTTGGACTGGGGTTCATAGGTTCCCACTTGCTCAGGTCAGCTGTTTCTATGAGTTTTACCAGCATGATCTTGACCCCTTTGTTTGTCACAAGGAGGAACTTTTTAATGGGTAGCTAAAATAGTATCAGGGAATAGGTTCATCATATGTAGTGACACTTTACCATAACACAGCAAATGTTCAAAAGCTGTGTGGTTGTCTTGATAATATTACTTGAGTTATTATAGTCAGCAGTTCTATATAAACAATGTTCTTTCTATAACAATATAAATATTGTTCCTACCAGGCTTTGAGTGGACAAAACAATCATTTTTAGGTGGGATAAGTTCAACAAATAGATATGTATGTTTTCTTTCTCCGTTCCTTCAAACATCTCTTCCTCCGTTTGTTATCTTCCTCCCTTCCTTTTACAGTGCTAGGCACCAAACTCATGGCTAAATAATTCCAGGCAAGTGCTTTGAGTCCTTCAATGTTAATTTCCTCATAAAATTGCTGTTGCATTTTCTCTGGCCTTTTCTTTTTTCCTATTTTTTTTTCCTGTAACACCATGTACCTGGGTTAGCCCAATGCAATCAGAGTACAAGGTCTAAAGTGGAAGTTAGGGAGATTAACAGTGAGAAAGTGGTGATTTGGGTGGAAATGTGCATGTGGGTGGTGTTGAAGTTGGAACTGGCATCTTATAAGAGGGGTGGGGTGGGGTAGTTCAGGTATTGTTTTTGAAGAATGGACTCTGGATAACAAGCAGTAGGAAACTAAATTCTGCCAACCACTAGAATCATCCTGGAAGTAGGTACCTCCCAGAACCTTCTAGTAAGAGGGTACCCAGGGCAGCACCATGATTTCAGGCATGAGTCTAGCAGACAAGCAATCCTTGACATATGACCTGCCAAACTGGGAGATGATGGGTGGGTTCTGTTTTAAGCTGCTGTGTGTGGTAAAGGTACATTGTGCGGCAAGTTCCCAAGTGTACTTGGTGGCAGTGTGGTGATAGGGCTACTGATCTTTTGAACGACATTTTAAATGCCCTCAGCATTCAAATCTGTATGATGAGCAACTGTTTTAGCTAAAGCTCTTAGAGAATGTTTGAGTCTGTGACTCATTCATTTCAGTTGACCTTGAGTATACTTTAATTATTATTGTGCTTAAATTATCCACCTAGAGGCAGTTGGCAATGTTTTTGTTTTTTAACATATATGATCTCAGCTTGAGCATGTCATATGTGTTAGGCTCCAAAACAGAAGTACCTCCTTTTTGGAGGCCAAGAACATCAGAAATGAGTTCTGTTTCCTAGTTTCTTAATACTTCTTAGGCTTGCTTGGAAGGAGGAAGTGCCTGCGACAGAGACGAGGTGCCTAGATACCACTTATTAGATGACCTACTGGACTGACCATTATATTTTCTTCCTTATACATTATACCAATCTCTGTCCTAAATTCTGAAAAATATCCCCAGAGCAGCACCTTGACATTTCCCTGCCCCTGGAGACCTGCTCTTTCTGTACAAGAAGTTTGCCTTCTTTTAAGCTGGCTCTAACAAAATGCTTCTTCCTAAAATATCCCCTCTGTGGCCCATTAACTTCCCATTTCAAATTTGGAAGACAAGAACTAGAAAGCCACTGGCTTTGGTTGGCTCTTGAGTTTTACAACACTTTAGCCCTCCAAAGCTAATCTTAGCAAGAAGTAAGAAAGGCTGTGAACTGTCAAAGGTACCCCACTATTTCCTAACCCACTTACTGTTCAAGTAATAAACTTCTCAAAGATACCCCACTGTTTCCCACTCCACTTACTTGTTACTGTAGTAAATCTCTTTCCACTCTCGTTCCCTGGTTGTGGTTATCCTTTTTCCACTCACTAAGACTGAATCCACTGCCCACAGCCATTGTAATTGTTTAAGCCACAAAAGAAAGTGAATATTCCAGCATTGCAAGATTAAACCTCCTCTGTACTTACAGTTATGGAAAGGCAATATGGAACAATAAAATCCCATAGGTTCTTCCCCACCTCCCGCCCCCCCCCCAAGAAAGGGTTTTCCTGTGTTGCTCTGGCTGTCCTGAAACTCACTCTGTAGACCAGGCTGGCCTTGAATTCACAGAGATCTACTTGCCTCTGCCTCCCTGGTGTTGGAATTAAAGGTGTGTGCCACCACTGCCCAGTCCCATAGGTTTGTAGAAACACAAACACTCTTGTTAGCTGTATGATTTGGGGAAGTTAAAAAAAAAAAAAAACAAAAACAAGAAAAACTACCTTCCTTTGCTGGAGTTGAACTCTATGACATAGTGGTAAATCTTATTCCTTCCTCTGTGCACATGATCCTAGGTTTGATCACCAGTAGTGCCACAAACCAAACCAAACCAAAACAAACAAACAAAAAAACCTACCCTTTCTTCAGTTTCAAGCTATCATTCTGTAATAAGGAAATGCTAATACCTTACCACAGAGGAATTCTAGGGCCAAACTAAATTATGAATATAAAAGTGCTCACTTACAACTGTCAATTATTTCATATATTCCTTTGGCTACTCCCATTTCAAAGTTAGTATAGCAACATTCTTCTCTGTTCCACTTGTATAAACTCCCCTAGCATCACTGAATAAGTTTTAGACAGCCACCCACAAATACTACCGAAAGAGACTGACTCCTCAGTTCCACTGTAAGAGGCAAAAATATGCCATCTATAATTAGTCTCTTTTCTGTAATTACTACATTGAGTTAATCATTTTGAGAAAGACAAGACACATGGACAGCTGTGGAAACCAAATGAAAAAGTAAAAGTCACCCTTTTATGAGAGAGAGAAATGTATATCTTCAAAGGTAATTTATAAGAGTTTCCCCCTTTTGCCCCACAAAGAGAAGGATAAGCAATAAATGCAGCTCTTGCTTTTTCCTTCTTTTCCTGACCATCTCCCTGAGCAGGCCTTTACCCACATCTTTGTTGGTTTCAGGCAGGATGATATATATGTTAGTGAAAAAAATCTAATTGGCCATGCATGTTCAAGTTTGCTCTTGTGGTAGGGACCATCACTACCTCCCACCCAAACAGCAGGTAATCAAGTTAAGAAATTTTGTTTTGCTTACATTTGCATTTTGACTTGTTTTTGTTACAGGGGTCTATATTACCTAAGATCTAAGAAATCATAAAGGAACACAAAATTCTTGCCTCCCTGAACCATCACAGGCTAAGTAAGCCTTGCTACTACTGTTACTAAAGTGAGATGTTGAAATTCATCTTGCTTGTCTAGTAGACCCTGTTATTACACAGAAGAATTTCCTATCTTAAAATTGAAATACGGAAAAAATCCAAATAGTTCTGATTTTTTCCAGTGACAATTCCTGTAGAGATAAAGCCAGTTTCAATGCAAAATTATGATATTGAAGATACATCATCAGAATATGGTATAAATAAAAGTCTCAGAAATAAAAATAAAACCAAGCCAGGCAGTTATAATTAAGACTTTTCTGATTCTGACTAGGATTATTTATGCAATTTGTTAAGGAGTTTTCAAAGTGAGATTGTAAGGTTCATGGATGAATATTATATTCAATGCCAGTTTTCATATTTTCCTCTTAAGAACTATACAAAGCCCATCTAAAGTTACCTGTCGGAACTTTCGTCACTTTGATCAGAGCTGTAGCCTTCTATCTCCTAAATGGAAAAAGTTGAAAAAATTATTGAAATGACATCATAATCTAAACTGCAACTCTTAGCATTTAAATGACAATATTCCTTTCACTTGATTCTTAATACTGTTAGCTTTGGCCTTTGCCATCTTGTAAAGCTTCCCCATTGTGGTTAACCATGACAATTCCCAAACTAAAGTGATTGAATTCCTAGAACTAAAGTAAATTGCATTTCTAGATTCTTGCCTACCCTATGCTTTTCATCCCCAAGAGATACTGATCTTCTGACATTGTTTAACTGAACACTCTTGGCAATGGCCAATATCCGGACAAAGGGGAAGATTTTCCAACCCTGTAACTACTCATGTCTAAGAGGACCACAGGCTCTCTAGTTTCCTGAACTAGAGATCTCCATGCCACACGTCTTTTCACAAATAAAGCCTGCACTGTTATGGAGTCATTCAGTCCACTGTCTGTCTTTCCCTCTTGCTCAACTGCAAGTGTACCATTCAATTTCCGATAGTGTACACAGATGAAAGAATGTCAATGGCAGTGTGCCCTTAGAGATAAATCAGCCTAAGCCTTCTAATCATATTGAAAAATTGCAGTTGAGAAGAATCAAGGAACTTCCCCAAGGCCTTGTAGTAGTGACCTAGAGAAATCCTCTCAAATCTGTGGCCTGGGTCCAAACATTATTTATCTGGAGTGAGGGTAGTATCAGAGTTGCAAAGAAAATCCACAAAGGGTTTTCTCAAAATTTGTATATTCAAACTCAAGATACTGGTTGTCTTTGTAACAGCTAAAGTAGAAAACTGTATTACTCCAGTCATTTAGTTTTATCAACTTATGTCTCTTGTTCTTATAATTACTATGTAAGTGATAACAGCTAAATAGAAGAAAGCATAAAAACAACTTCATACAAATGTTAATTGGCCCAGATCAACCCACAACTAAATAAGCTGTTTAACAGCAGTCCTAAGTGGTGGTAGTGTGTGTGGGGGGGAACCTGACACTAGCCATGGTGGCACCTGCCTGTTAGCCTTGCACTTAGTGGACAGAGGCAGGGAGAGCATGAATTAAAGGATGGGATTACAGGTTTGTGCTACCATGCTTGAGTTTATGTAATGTAGGTGATCAAAAGCAGTGACTAGTCCATGCCTTGCAAAAACATTACTCTAATTTAGCTATGTTAGTTTCAGACAGGATCTTGCTATGTAGCATAGGACTGTCTTTGTGTCTGAACTTCCTGAATGCCAGGATCTTAGGTGTCTAACACTTTGCAGGAAACTTATAAGTAATTACACAGAGGACCGGAAACAATGTTTGTAAGCATATATAATATGATATATGGCTTTCTTATACATTGATAATTTGATAATTTATTTTTTAAACCCATGAAAATAATCATTAATATAAATAGATGCCAAATTTTCAAAGAAGCAAACATGACACCACAGGAAATCCTAATTAAATGAAAATGATACATAATACTACACAGACTTTTGAGGTAGAAAGTAGAAAGCGCTGAACTTACCCCTTCGTTCAGATTTTCAATTCTGTGCTGTTCCTGAGCCAATAAGTATTCAGTCTGTTCTCTTATTGTAGAATTTCTGGTATTCAACATAGAGGGTGAAAAATCAGAAAACTAGTTTTTACTAAAATGATCACTAACAGATTATTTAATATTTGTGACTGATTTAATTATATGTATGTATGTATGTATGTATGCATTTCTGTCAGAGTATGCCTATGTATTGCTACATGTTCCTGTATATACATGGAGATGCCAGAAGAAGGCACAATCACTTTCTACCTATTGTTTTGAGGAAACTTTTTCCCTGATACTGGGGCTTGCACTTTCTTGGCTAGTCTGGAAGCCAGCAAGCCTCAGTGAGTAATCTTGTCTCTCCGCATTTCAGTTAACCGGGCTACAGGTTTGTGTAGTACACCTGGTTTGTTGTGTGGGTGCTGGGACCCAAACTCTAGTCTTCATGCTAGTACATCAAATATTTTAAATTCTTAGTTCTCTCTCTAGCTCCCTATCTAAGATTTTTAAGGAGACATTTCAAATTAATCGCCTTTATGATATTGAAATGTAGACTAACCAGTTATTGCTGCATCTAGGAAACTTGTAAGTAAATAGATGGAATTAGGAAATATGCCAAGTGGGTAACCCAGAATGATAAATGCTGCATGTTCTCCATTTCTGTGCATACTCTAAATCCTTAGATGAGTATATAACCTGGAGTATCCTAAGAAGCCAGGGAAAAGATAAAGGTACCACAGTGGGAGGAAGAGGTGCTCTAGAGAGGAATAGAGTGGAACATTGGTACTGTCAAAGGGAAAATGAGAAAACAGGTTGGGGATTTAACTGGAAAAGGATGAGGAAATACAGAGGGAGAAGAAGGATGGAGCATTAATTAACACTAAGAATATTTAACAAAGTCATAGTAAAGCATAGTAACTTTGATCACATATAGTATATTTAAAATATACATAAACATGTTTAAAAACATGTATGTAGTTCGAATGAAGTTATGCCATTTTAAGTGCCAATGCTTCCCATAAGGATCATAGACAACCTAAGAAAAACCCAGGGCTAAGCATAGGAAACCTCCCTTTCAATTGTTGGTCATGGGAGTAGAAGAGACTCCCAAAACGGTATAGGCTATTGCTGTTGCCCTTGTTTTCCTTGCATAATTTGAAGGTAAGACCTTACTGCTGAAGATGGCACCTACTTTAGACAGTGTACTTGGAGGAATTGAGCTGCTCAAAGACACATTTGCTCAGATGAGGTTGTGGCTCAGAGGTAAATCATTTACTTAACATGACATGTACAAGGCCTTGGGCATAACATAAATACACATACCCATATATATTATTTGCTAAAGACTTTTAGGACTCCTTAGGAAGGAGATTAAGGAACAAAATAAATTAATTACCATTAGTTATATTTTATCTATTTAGCATAATTTGTCAGTACATTACTTTGCCTACCAGTTTGAAAGATGCAACAAACCTAACTAGATACTAAATGAACAACTTTGTTTATTGGGTAGGCCTCAGAGGAAAGGTCAGAAACTAGAAAACAAACTTAGTTAACTGCATGTGCATGTCAGTTGATACCATGAGCCACATAATTGGATTAATCTAAATGGGAACAATTTCTGAATTAGGAAAATACATATTTAGTTATCAAGATACAGAAATAGAAAGCATGCTTATACACTTACATATCCTACAAAACATTCTAACACAGATAAATCACTGATTTACCTGTCAATTTCAGGATCAGATTCTGGTGATGTTCGGATTCTTCTAAACCTTTCTCTTTGACCATGGTATCTTGCTTCATGACTGCGAGATCTCCATGTACGGTTGTTATGAGCTCTCCTTGCACGGCCACGATGAGGTCTTCCTAAGTGGCCATTATTAGCTCTCCCTCTGCGTCCATTATGAGCATGGTTTTGACGAACTAGCCCTGTATGGTTGGGACGAGCTCTTCCTCTGTGGCCACGATAAGCTCTCCCTCTGCGTCCATTATGAGCTAGCTCTGAGTGGCTACGATGAGCTCTCTCTGCACGGTTGGGAAGAGCCAGCCCTGTGTGATTAAGATGATCTCTCCCTCTCTGGCTTCGGTGAGCTAGCCCTGCATGGCCAAGATGGGGTCTATCTGAGTGGTCATGATGTGGTCTACCTGCATGGTCATGCTGGAGTCTACCTGAGTGGTCATGATGGGGTCTATCTGAATCATCATCTTGGGGTCTATCCAAGTGGTCAAAATGGGGTCTATCTGAGTGGTCATAATATGGTCTATCTGAGTGGTCATGATGTGGTCTACCTGAGTGGTCATGATGGGGTCTATCTGAATCATCATCTTGGGGTCTATCCAAGTGGTCAAAATGGGGTCTATCTGAGTGGTCATGATATGGTCTATCTGAATAGTCATGATGTGGTCTACCTGCAAGGTCTTGCTGGAGTCTACCTGAGTGGTCATGATGGGATCTATCTGAATCATCATCTTGGCGTCTATCCAAGTGGTCAAGATGGGGTCTATCTGAGTGGTCATGATATGGTCTACCTGAGTAGTCATGATGTGGTCTACCTGCATGGTCATGCTGGTATCTATCTGAGTGGTCATGATGGGGTCTATCTGAATCATCATCTTGGTGTCTATCCAAGTGGTAATGATATGGTCTATCTGAGTAGTCATGATGTGGTCTACCTGCATGGTCATGCTGGTGTCTACCTGAGTAGTCATGATGGGGTCTATCTGAGTCATCATCTTGGGATCTATCCAAGTGGTCAAGATGGGGTCTATCTGAGTGGTCATGATATGGTCTACCTGAGTAGTCATGATGTGGTCTACCTGCATGGTCATGCTGGTATCTACCTGAGTGGTCATGATGGGGTCTATCTGAGTCATCATCTTGGGATCTATCCAAGTGGTCAAGATGGGGTCTATCTGAGTGGTCATGATATGGTCTACCTGAGTAGTCATGATGTGGTCTACCTGAACGGTCATGTTGGAGTCTATCTAAGTGGTCATGGTGTCGTCTACCTGCATGGTAACGACGGGGTCTATCTGAGTGGTCATTTTGGGGTCTATCTAAGTGGTCAAGATGGGGACTATCTGAGTGGTCATGATAAGTTCTATCTGAGTAGTCATGATGTGGTCTACCTGCATAGTCATGTTGGAGTCTATCTAAGTGGTCATGACGTGGTCTACCTGCATGGTAATGACGGGGTCTATCTGAGTGGTCATCTTGGGGTCTATCTAAGTGGTCAAGATGGGGCCTCTCTGAGTGGTCATGATAAGATCTATCTGAGTGGTCATGATGTGGTCTACCTGCATGGTCATGACGTGGTCTATCTGAGTGGTTATCTTGGGGTCTACCCAAGTGGTCAAGATGAGATCTATCTGAGTAGTCATGATGGGGTCCATCTGAGTGGTCATCTTGGGGTCTATCCAAGTGGTCAAGATGGGGTCTATCTGAGTTGTCATGATATGATCTATCTGAGTAGTCATGTTGGGGTCTATCTGAGTGGTCATCTTGGGGTCTATCCAAAAGGTCAAGATGGTGTCTATTTAAGTGGTTAAGATGGGGTCTGTCTGAATGGTCATGATATGGTCGATCTGAGTGGTCATTATGTGGCATATCTAAGTGGTCATGATGTGGTCTATCTGAGTGGACAGGAGCTCTCCTGAAGGGGCTAGGAGATCTGGAGTGGCGGCCATGAGATCTGTTAATGGGGCGGCCACGAGATTGGGGGTGGTCATGAAATCTGAAGAAAACTTGATTTCCTTCCATTTGTGGTTGTCTCTCTTCAAATTGGTTTCCATTCCACTCTGATTCATCTTCACTGTTGTCATGTCTCATCTACAAAGGAGCCCAATTACATAATACAAATGAGACAGATTGTCCATGGTTAGATTAAGTCATAAGGGTAATTTTCAAAGTCAGTCCTTCAGTTCTTCTGTCCTTCCTTCTTCCATTCCTCCCCCCTTTCCAATGAATTTTTGAGGCAAGTTCTAACTATATAGTATAGGTTAGCCTGGAAGTTCAGAGTTTCATGAATGCTTGAATGAGATTATACTACCACACACAGCTTATCAAGACAATTTCTATCGGTCTTTCTCCTAGAATTATAGTATAACTGCCATTTGTATACTACTTACCAGTATATAACCAACTTAAAGACATATCTGATGTACCACGTCCCTTGCATAAAGAGATTATACACATGAAAAAAGAGAAATATGTAAAACTAGCTGTCTTATGAATTTTAATAATGAAACAAACTATGTGACTTTATAATTGAGATGAGAGGTTTTTTGGGGGAGTAAGGAGTTTATGCTGGCCAGAAACAAGCTCCTAAGTATAACCTTGAACTTCTGAAACCCCTGCTTCCACCTCAGATGCTATGATAAAAATTATATGTGTGCCACAATATCTGGTATTATATGTTACTGTGAATTTAACCCAGACCTTTATGCATGTTAAGGCAAGTACTCTATCAACTGAACTACTTCCACAGGCCCAAGAATGATAGAGTATTTAATAATGTTTCATAACAGAGAATCTTAAGATCAAAGAAAGGCATTATAAATTATTCTGTTGATTATTTCCCTGCCCAGTGGTCATTAAAAAACTACCTTTCAATACAAAAAATTACTTAATTCTCAGGAGAAAAACAAAGAAAGTGGAAAGGATGGTATAAAAGAAGCAAAGGGTTGATTTGATGCAGTTCAAATAAATTAATCCAGTAACAACTCAGCTTTTCTATCCTTTCAATTTTTAAAACAAAAGGACTATATTGTGAATCACCAAGAAGAAAATAATGAAAATTTTGGCAAATGTCTGATATTCAGAGTAAATGAATACTATCATATGGACTGTGCTAAGGAAGCAAGTTTTAAACTAGCACATGTTGCTCAGCAAGGAAAGCATCCCTTATATTTAGCATTACCATGTACTGCTACAACACTGTTAAACGCTAGAAGTAACTGCTAAATATGAGGAAGGTACTAGCACGAAGATATAGAACTTGAATTAAACTACGAAAAGTCAGCTGATTTGCCAAAGGTTAAATCCACAGCTTCTATTTAGTATTTCTATTGAGAACATGAATAAGTAAATTAGGTAGACTATCAATGTTACCCTTTTAATTTTAAGTGACTAGTCTAGGGAGAACAGTGAATAGTCAGGAAAGACCAGACTGAGGCACATCTCCTGAAGAATCTTTTAACAGACTTTCCAATAGTTTCACGAATGTTTATGTAAGGAGTATTTTCTGGGCTTGGATTATATAGATCAGTGGTATAGTGTACCATGAGCATGATCAGGGCTGTGATTCCCATCTGTTATATCCCTAAGGAATTATTTACACCAAATTAGGTATAAGATTCCTAAATTCGATCGTTGGCTGGCCAGAGTGTAGGTCCAACACCCCCACCCTGTCCTTGGTACTTTCTGGGTTGGCTCTGTGCATACTGAATCAACCCTCCATTCAGGACCATATTGGGCTGGTCCTCACTTGACCTCTGAACCCCTTTGCCTGCCCTCTGCCTGAATGCATAAGACCATCCTGAGCCTGCCTTCCCCAATCATTGGCCCTGCTCTGGCCTCTGCTTAAGCTTGAGAGACCTCCAAGAAAGTTGGGATCATCCAGAGTTACAGACATTGAACTCCTGACCCACCTACACCGACTGAGAAAGCAGGAGAGAGAGAGAGAGAGAGAGAGAGAGAGAGAGAGAGAGAGAGAGAGAGACTCCACCTGCGCCCACTGGAAGAAGTGATGGTAAGACAGCAATATAAGAAAATACCCAACAATAGAAAGTCAAGCATGACTTGGGACTCTACACCACCTAAACCTAAATACGCCAAAGCAGATGAAGCAGAAGAGAACGAATTAAAAAGTAACTTCATAAAAATGATAGAGGCTCTCAAAGATGATGTGAGAAAATCCCTTAAGGAAATGGAGGAAAAAAACAAACAAAAAATTGGAAGAAACAGAGGAAAAGACCAAGCAAAAAATGAAGAAATGAACAAATCTCTTAAAGAAAGCAAGGAAAGGCAAGAAAAAACAAACAGATGAAGGAAACAATTCAAACAGTTCAAGACCTGAAAACTGAAATAGAGACAAGAAAACAGAAATTGAGGGAATGCTGGAAATAGAAAAACTGAGTAAACGATTAGGAACTACAGACACAAGCATAACCAGCAGATTACAAGAGATTGAAGAGGGAATCTCTGGTGCTAAAGATAAACTAGAGGAAATAGATTCATCGACCAAAGAAAATCTTAAATCCAACAAATCCTTAACACAAAACAACCAGGAAATGTGGGACACTGTGGAAAGGCCAAACCTAAGAAACATCCAGGAAATGTGGGACACTGTGGAAAGGCCAAACCTAAGAATAATAGGCATAGAAGAAGGCAAAGAAGACCAGCTGAAAGGTGCAGAAAACAGATTCAACAAAATCATTGAAGAAAACTTTCCCAATCTGAAGAAGGACATGCCTATGAAAGTACAAGAAGCATAACGAACAACAAATAGACTGGACTAAACTCACAAAGACACAGGCAATAGATAATCCCACTTTACCAGAACCCAAAAGAAAAAGTGAGGCAAATATACAACAAATCTAAAACAAACAAGAATTAATAATCAATGGTCCTTACTTCCATTCAATATAATGGTCTTAACTCACCAATAAAAAGACACAGGCTAACAGAATGGATACGAAGACAGAATCCATCCTTCTGGTGCATACAAGAAACACATATAAGCTTCAAAGACAGACATTATCTCAGGGTAAAGGGTTGGGAAATGATCTTCCAATCAAACGGAGGCAAACAGGTGTAGCTATTCTAATATCTAACAAGTTAGAGTTCAAACCAAAATCAATCAAAAGGGATGAGGAAGGTCATTTCATATTCATCACAAGAGAAATCCATCAGTACAACGTCTCAATTATGAACACCTATGCCCCAAATACAAAGGCATCCACATTCATAAAAGAAACACTACTAAAACTCAAAGCTCACATAAAACCTCACACACTCATAGTGAGAGACTTCACCACCCCACTCTCACTACTAGACAGGACCACCAGACAGAAACATAACAAAGAAACAACAGAAGTTATATCTCAATTGGGTTTAACAGACATCTATAGAACATTATATCCAAACACAAAAGAATATACCTTCTATTCAGATCCACATGGAACCTTCTCTAAAATCGACAACATACTAGGTGACATAACAAGCCTCAACAGATACAAAGTAATTGGAATAGCCCCCTGTATCATATCAGACCACCAGGCTTTAAAGTTGGAATTCAACAACAACACAAATCGCAGAACCCTACAATCTCCTGGAAACTGAACAATGCATAGTTGCACCATTTCTGGGTCAAGGAAGAAATAAAGGAAAAAAAATTAAAGATTTCCCAGAATTCAACAAAAATGAAGACACAACATACCCAAACTTATGGGACATTATGAAAGCCATGCTACAAGGAAAGTTCGTTGTACTAAATGCCCATATGAAGAAAACAGAGGACAGTCACATTAGAGAATTAACAGCACAACAGAAAAACCTAAAAGAAAAAGAAGCAAACTTATCCCAGAGGGGTACATGCCAGGAAATAATCAATTTGAGGGCTGAAATCAATAAAGTGGAAACTAGGAAAACAATACAAAGAATCAATGTAACAAAGAGTTGGTTGAGAAAAAATCAACAAGATAGACAAATCTTTATCCACACTAACCAAAAGGCAGAGAATATGCAAATCAACAAAATCAGAAATGAAAAGTGGAACATAACAACGGACACCAAGGAAATCCAGAGAATCTTCAGTTCATACTTTGAAAACCTATACTCTACAAAATTAAAAAAAATTAATGGAAATGGACAAATTTCTGAATAGGTATTACTTATCAAAATTAAATGAAGAACAGATAAGCAATTTAAATAGATTTATAACCAGTAATGAAATAGAATCAGTCATCAAAAGCCTCCCAACCAAAAAAAAAATCCCAGGGCCAGATGGCTTTAGTGCAGAATTCTACCAGAAATTCAAAGAAGAGCTAATACCAACACTCCTCAAAGTGTTCCACACAATAGAAGCAGAAGGTTCATACTAAACTCTTTTTACAAGGCCACAATTACCTTGGTACCCAAGCCACACAAAGTTAAAACTAAGAAAGAGAGACTCGGACAAATATCCCTCATGAACATTGATGCAAAAATACTCAATAAAATACTGACAAATTGAATCCAAGAATACATCAGAGAAATCATCCACCATGACCAAGTAGGCTTCCTCCTAGGGATGGAGGGATGGTTCACCATATGAAAATCTATCAATGTGATCTACCATATAAACAAACTGAGAAAGAAAAATCGTATGATAATCTCACTAGATGCTAAAAAAGCCTTTGACAAAATCCAACAACTTTTCATGATAAAGGACTTGGAGAGATCAGGGATAACAGGAACATACCTAAAGACAATAAAGGCAATATACAGTAAACCAACAGCCAACAGCAAAACTGAACGGAGAGAAGCTTAAGGAACAACACAAGGCTGTCCACTATCTCCATATCTCTTCAACATTGTACTTGAAGTTATAGCTAGAAAAAGCAATAAGACATCAAAAGGAGATCAAGGGGATACAAATTGGAAAGGAAGAAGTAACACTGTCATGTCTAGACAATATGATAGTTTACATAAGTGACCCAAAAATCTCTACCAGCGAACTCCTACAGCTGATAAACACTTTCAGCAAACTAGCAGGATACAAGATTAGTAAAAAAAAATCAGTAGCCCTACTCTACTATATACAGATAATAAAGGGGCTGAGAAAGAAA